AACTCTCTTTATGTATACATCATTAATTATCATCAGACTGGTATGCAAATTTAGAAATAAAATATGTAACCTATTTACCTTCTTTCAAGAGCAATATAAAATATAACGGATATTACTGGAATACATGGAACATAATAAACGAGATTAATATTTAGACTATCCTGCAATGTGCAAAAATATTATTTTGAAAATGTACTTAATATAATTGAGAAAATGATTAAACTTTGAAAATGAATGTTTACCCTTTCAGGATGAAAATCGTTCTGTTAGAGTGTAAATAAAAATTATATCCGTGTTATTCTATAAAAAAAATTAATGTCTTCCTAATTGACTTCTGACAGTTGACCAATGGAGTACTAAGATATTTTAAAATAATGTTAATAAATCTTCAGAAGTGAACTTGATGGAATAAACTCTAAACTACGAGATATAAAATGATGGATCGAGTGGAGCACCGGCACTATCACTATCGCTAATATCTCCGTTATTCTTCCACCTAGCCTTCTGACGAGTTGCAAGTAATTTTATTTTGAATTACAGAATAAGAATACAAATTGTCAGAAGTGTACCTAGTGACGTCATTGTTGCTAAATTTTTCGCAACATAAGCGCCTTCTGATGACTTTTTCTCTTCCACCTATACTTCTGACAATTTTTCCCTACTTTCTTATACTATCTCCGATAATACTGCAAATTTTTAGAGCTGTACCTTATCACTTATTTTGCGAAAAAAATTGCTTGTTTAACTCCCTACCCTTACTTTATACTTCCAGGATGACTTCTGACTGCTCGCCTTTCGCTATGTTGGTAACAATCGAAACTGTAAATAACAAAATTTTTACTTTACCGAGTCACCGTTACTTTGTCCATCTATATTCCACGTAATCTAGTAGAACAAGAAATGTAATAGTGAAAATAATCGATCTTTAGTAACTTTTATGACATCTTAAGATCCTTAAGTACCTATTAGTTCTATTAAATATCTAAATGACAATGTTTTAGGGTTACTACTGAAGTTATTATTGTTAGTTTTAGCCAACTGATATTACTTTAGTCTCTTAGGATATGAAAGCTCAGCTGGTTTATGGAGGGAGATTTTTGTTTCTCACCTCTTTCGCAGGTCCACATTTTCAGTTATAACCTCATCGCTTTCTTCCTAGTCAGAAGACACTTAGGTACTCGTTCCATCCCTTTTTTGATAAAGTTAAATATAACCAGCTTAAATACATCTTCTCTAACAACCGGTAATATACCTATCATACTCGACTTATAAAAGAAAACTTTTCCCCTCCTCTGGCAATCAACGCTTTGTCTCATCTTGAAGACATCGCACTGTTGGATACCTTTGTCCTCTTTTTAATAAAAAAAGTTTCATACATAATAGCTGCATTCAGTCCGGAAGACATCCCTTGGGCTGAAACCGAAACATTTTAAACAGTAAAAAACATTTTGTGCTATTGACTTTTAGTACTTACATATATTTATTTTTGTTTTTGAAAATGACCACATTCAAACCCTTATAATTTAATACCTAAAGTAAATAATTAATGAAAATAAATGTTGCTCAGGAATTTAGCTTTTATAAATGTATATTGTTTTTGTTAATAATAAAAAAGTAAAACACCATTAACTTTTTAATTTTTATTTGAGTTTTAATTTACTTTTTTGTTATTAATTTGGAACAGGGTAATTAATATTATTTTATATTCTGTCATGTTATTCCTTTTCAAAATTTGTTATTTTTATTTGCATTATTAATAAAATCCTATCACTGCATATTAGGTTTTGTAAAAAAATAAATATTATTTCTTATAATTATCAAAGTACTTACTATTTGTGAATAATCCTTTGTTTCCCATCGTAAAATCCACATTAACATTGTTAAATCTTCTTAAAATTCGTTTTCTTTGCATACTTTCAAATATAAGTATATTTTGTAAATAATTCTCCTGTTAAAAGTTCGTCTAGTCTCGACATTCTCGACTCTTGCCGATTTTGACTTTCTTCGTAGGTATTGTAACGCGAAGAGACGTTTCCTATGACAAATTTTGAGCTCATTGCGAAAACGTCTTCACCAGCCGTGTGTTATCTTCACACACCTAGAGAAATATACCGCTAAAGAACGACTGCGCATCTGATCTGAGTGTCTACTAAAACGAGATAGAATATTCCGCCATTTTGCCAGCTAATTGTCAGATTTAAGTGTCAACGTTCCATGTCAATAATGCCGATGCTATTTTAGAGTTTTGCATTGTTTTCGTTTATGTTCGTGAATCTCTGGTTCGTGAATTATACGAGCTTTCGAATTTAGTTCAGTCGTTCAGTTCCAATTATGAAGACTAGAGATAAGGAGGCGAATCGGCCTTGGTCAAATTTCAAATTTCCGTCCCTATTTTTATGGAGTTCCAAAAAACTACTGTAGTTGGCGGGTGGCAAAATAACCACGTCTATTTTCTATGCAAGTCAATGGGAATTAAAGTGATTTTTGTAAAATTTAGTAAAAAGAATAAAAATAAGCTGAAATAAAAAACCTGACTACAAGTAAAAATGAGTAACAAAAAACGACAGAGCAGGATTTTCTTCGTGTTGGGTTGCAAAACGGGATATAAATCCGATATAAAATTAAAGGAATCACAAGGAGATAAAAATCCCAAGTCTTTTTAAAGCTCCTAGTGTAAGTAAAATAATGTATTTATTTCTAAACAATATATATTTATTGTAAAATAGTCACAACCCGCATCTTACGGAGTGTAGTTTATTTAATTACAAAATTCTATAATAAAAAATAATAAAGTCATAAATCCTGACTTACAAACAACAATAATTACACATTAAATTTAACTTACTAGAAAAGAAAATTTGCTTTTTTTATGTTTTTGGATGTTAGATGAAGAGTAACTACTGTTATTTTTCTTTATTGAACTCCAATTTAGTCATTGCAAATATTTTTTATAGGATCCTAAACGTTTAGAACAATGGCAGCATGTGATTCCTAGGGCTGATAAAGTACTGTCTAGTTATGATTCTGTTTGCGGGCTACCCCTTTTAGAAGATGATATTTTAAAATTTGATGAGACTATTTTAACTAATGGTACTGTTATCAAAATAAAAAGGGGACAGCTGAAATTAATGGATGAGGTAATACCATGTATATTCCCAAATCTCCCTTTATACTTCTATTAAAACAATAAAAAATGTGTTAACTGTGTTTTATTTTACTATTAAAACTATATATTGGTTCAATTCAAAAAAAAATTTGCCACAAAATTGTACTTATTAATTAAAACATGCAAGACTTATTTAGAAATACATACAACAGTATGTTCTGTGCTTTATTTAGCTGTAAACAAGTTTATTTTTATTATTTTGACAAAATTATGTATAATTCCCATAATAAGCCATTTATTTTGACCTACGTAAACCGTACCAGCGCCCATGCGGTTAATTATAACAGCTCAATTGACGTGTGATTTTTGGGAACGTATTTTGAGCATGCCGATTCGCCTCCTTACCTCTAGTCTTCATAGTTCATAGTTCCAATATCAGTGGTTTCAATATACCACACAGAGACACCTTTACGGGGAAATTATGATTTGTTCTTCGATCCTGCATTGACGAATCCCCTGGGCTCTGAGCAGTCAAGCGACAGCATTATCTTACATTTTTTTCGAACGATTTGATCAATTTATCAGATTTTTAAAGTATTAGGAATATGTAATAATGCAAATTCACAAAACAATGTTAATAGTTGATGCATAAACAATTTTTTTAATAATTATAAAATGCCTAGTAACAAAGGAGCTTGATGTATGCAATTTGTTTAACAAAAACGCATAATGTTGGTTGCATACCGTCTGGATTTCACATTACTATGCATTGTTGGATGCATATATGTTTTGACAGATTTCTGGCAAAATGGCAGCTTATTAGACTTTTCAATTGTTGCCGTGTCGAATATCTCTCTTGCGCTGTATAAAGCAATTTTAAGCGAACTACCAAATTTTCTTGGTATTTACCACAAAATTTCTTGGTTATTGCCTGAATTTATGGAAGTGGTAATAACCGTGGTTGTAAGTTTGTTTATTTTCAAATGTCAATTCTATTTAACCTATCTTTTTTGCCGTGTTTATAAATTAGTGATATAGATTTTTATTTAAACTATATTGTTTATTGTCCTGCAAGAAATAATAAGATCCAAAGAAGAAATTATAGTCTCTGAAGTCTTTCCCTTTGCATTTTTAACTTATCCAATAATCTTTTACCACTTTTGAACACGATTTTAATGTTTAAAAATGGCACAAAATCGGGTTTAGTACCTTATTTGCATAGTACTAATCGGTACAAAACACTCCAGTTGTAACTGGTAATTACCTATAACCAATAATCAAAAACAGCTCTGGAAGAAGGTAAATACCGTAAAATTTTGGTTATAACTTTGACAAAAAACATCTGATTTATGACGTCACGGATATATTACCAAATTAATAACCGAAGTCACTTGAATGTTGTAGTAATTACCAATTTCAAATGGTAAATACCAAATGCTTTTGGTTATTCGCTTAAAATTGACTATAGTCATCTAGGTGTGTGGTTATCTTAAATAGGCCGACAAAGACAGAGAAAACTCTTGATAGGGACGTATCTCGAATATCGTCACACTTTACTTCATACTGTCATTTGGAAAAGCGCCGTTGCCAAATTTGCCATTCAGAAGATAATTTAGGGCGTGAATAAAGTTTTGGGTTCATTAGCTAACCAGAGATTTTAACAATCATTCTTGCAACCGGCTGTAAAACTTTTAATTTATTCTCTTGATTTTACTTCTTTTATTTATTACGTTACACTCACATTAAAGTAATATTTTATATCAAATTCTGTGTATACCCGAAAAAGTTAAATATGCTAGTAAATGAATAAATAAATGACCTAGACCTTCAGTGCTCCACTCATAACAAACATTTTATCCTTAACCCAAATTTTTACGATTGTAATTTTCCACAGATAATAAAACACTTCAACGTGAACAGTCAGTGTATTCATCGAAATCAAGTTTAAAATTGAACATAAATCAACCGAATATACCGGATGGGGGCTACGGTTGGATAGTAGTTCTTGCAACTTTTTTAATTTATGCCATAGCTGAAGGAATAAGTTTCGCCTTTGGACTCCTATACATCGAGTTTAAACAAGAATTTAAATCATCTAAATCAGCGACTTCTTGGATTGGCAGCTTGTTTGTAGCATTACCTCTTGTATCCGGTAAGTCATTTTATTCTAAAACACCAATATATTTATATTTTTATTTTTAAGCATAAAGGTTTGATTATACAGGATGATTCATAATTATAAGATCAGCAAAACTTACCTTAAGTGAAGTTCGATCTTAATTATACACTGCACTCCGTTCTAAGATGATAAGTATGCTAGTTATGCACCTTAGTCTAAAGCTAAAAACTTATAACCTCACTTTCTATGTAGTTCCCACATTCTGTGAGCGTGGCTAGCACTTTTTCAAAGCTTTGTCGCAACTGGCGATGATCTTTGAAGGGAGCGCAGGGTATACTCAAGATCGAACTTCACTTGAGGTAAGTTCGTTTGATCTTAATTGCGCTTCCTTCTTCAGATGATTAGTAAACGTGCATGTTTAAAGACAGTTAACGACTACAAAAAACAAGGCAATTTTCAATAAACTTTTATGAAAATGTTTACAAGAAGTGTAACAAAAAGAAACGAAAGTTTATATTACAATAAACTAAATTAGAATCGCCTCTGCAAAAGAAGTGGGATCCTGCCTTATAAGCAGGTTGTAAAAGTTACCGAAACAAGAATCAGTTGACCAGGCTACTGGACCTTATAATATCTAACTTCAGTTGGCTTTACCCAATGACTTAAGGTTTGAGAGGAAGAGATAAACATAGTTGGATTTTTTTTCTTCCCTAGTATTACTACAAATATTCTCTAATTTAATAAGGCCGAAAGTTTGCATTATATGCACAGTAAATATTGCTAATAATGTCACTAATTTTTTTAATATTTTTATAACAGGGATTTCTTTATTGGAACACCAATCCCTGAAGGTATACTGTTAATTGGTTCCAAGTTGAGTCATACCTTGTTAGAGAAAGTTTATAGGTCACTATTTCCTTTAAACAAACCTTTTGACCATAAAGTACTCGGCAATGGCCAGTGACAAAATCAAAGAAAGTGATAGCCTATAGTTATTATATAAACCGTATGTTGAACCCTCCTGGAACTCCTCTCCTTGCAAAAATTTAAAAGACCTTAAAGATATCTCCTGTTAAGAGGTCTGTTCTCTCTAACATACAAAACTTCCACCAAAGTTTCAACCCCCCCGTATATTCTTTTGAGGTATTATTGAAGTACAGGCGATTTACGCCTATTGAATAAAATTTTGCCACCAAGGAAAGATTTTTTGCCAAAGGGGGTAAAGTAGGGTTGCCAGATTTCCGGAAGTCAAAGCGTGACAACCGTGACGAGAGAGCATCAGTTTCAAATACTAGGCGTTTTTATATAATCAGCTCCATTATTTGTGAAATTTCTAAAAACAAAAAAAAATGTCTTTAGCTTGTATTCGAAAACGATGGTCCTTAAGCCGATATTTATCTAACAAAAAAGGTCTTCCAGTTTCTGCCTTTAATTTACGGCTTTGAAAGTTAAAACGCGTGACATTTGCGTAAAAAAGCGTACCATTTATATAAAAAAAATGGCATTTTTCTCAAAAGCGGGACATTTTCGTGCTGTGGCGTTGAGTGTGCAAGCAAATCAGAAAGCGTGGAAAATACGCCTATTGCGTGACTTCTAGCAATCCTACTATAGAGTCATGTCGGAAGATAATTAACGCAAGAAACTTGCGTCAAATTTAATAAGTTCTGAACCGAAAACAGGTGCCACCTACGTTTGGTAATCCAAAAGGGCACCACAATAGCTGAAGCATGTTCATTTATGACGAAAGAGTAAAACTTTTTGATAACTTAACATTTATAATTTGTGGTAGGACCAAAGAAAAAGGCATAAAGAAATTAACAACGCTTACTTTATTTCATATCAAAACTTTTTTTCGAGATGAAGTTTCATGAAATAAAATTATAACTTAAAATCCCTGTTCTATTTAAAAAAAAAATTTATTCCTAATTTTTTTTCCCAAAACCAATAGCTTCAGAGAAAAAAAATAAACACCATAATTTATAATTTTTTTAATAAATTGAGTGGAAAACAGTAGAGATGTAAAATTTAATACATTTAATATTGAAAAAATACCCGAGGTTAGTCCTTTACAAGTGCAGGAAAATTACAAAATTTCAAGTTTCTAGCTTTACTGAAATTTTAGAAAAAAAAAATAAAACTCAATTTTAGTCACCACCTTTTAAGGGTGATATCTCGGAAAGGGGTGGGCTGAGAAAATTTTGTTATGGGAAAGACCCATCTTAATTTCATACGAGCAATCACCTCCTGAATTTTGTTGCATGAATTTAGAAACACCCTGTATATAGGTATATATTGTAATGGAAATGAATTATCGACATTTAAGATCAAAAATTAGTTAACTGTTTAATCTAACTAGGATCAGGTACCTAAAATGGGACAATGAACTACTTAATATAACATTATGTATCAATATTAATATTTAGGTAATTAATTAAAAATCTTTTTAGGTACCTAATTTTCCGAAATTAATTGTTTATGCCTTTCATAGATATAAGAACACAAGCCAGCTAATAGTTACATATTTACTGCAGCAATCTATCAATGCTTACTGCGAATATTTAAGGAACAAGATAAATTACCCAATTTTATACAAAGAATAGATCTGCAGAAAAATAGACATTTCAAATTTTTATTTTTAATAATTTATTACCTACTTAAAAAAATTTACAATTGGCGTCGAAACGGCCCGGCGTCGAATCGGCCGGCGTCGAAATGTCCTCGCGTCGAAACGGCCGCGTCGAAACGGTCGCGTCGAAACGGCTGCTTCGAAACGTCCCATTCCGGTACGAGAATACTCTCGTCTTTTCACAATAATCGAGAACTGTCTCTTTATGATTTATACGCCGCAAAGGGATCGCTCTGGTAGTTTCTCGAAGCGGTACGTTTGTCTCTGTATTGTCAGCGCGCTAGACTTCATACCGTGGGCAAGGAGTAAAAAAAGCACATTCGCTCTCCAATTTAGCTGGTTGCTCTCTATCCTTGGTATAACTAGTTTCTGTACCTTTGACTCCAGTACGTGCTCCCTCAGACTAATGCTTCCCATACATCATGATAAGTGGATCGATCTCGGAAGGTGTTCTTCGTTATTAAATAGAAACGATAACGCAATCCATCTTGAAGTTTTAATGCTTTTCCAGGGCTGGTAACTGATCTTGAAGTTCTGACAATCGACCAAACTTCTTCCGGAACACAGATGTCAGACCTCCAGCGTCGTTGATATTGGCGGAAGTGCTATGGACCAGCGAATAGTATTTAGGAACCGTGAGCAGATTTTGTTGTTGCTTGGTTGTAACACCATATATTGCCTTTCCGGTACCTACATATGCACCTATACATTTTTCAAAGACAAATTCAGGTGATTCTCCGAGTTGGTTTACTTCTTGGTTACCCTCAAATGGAGCTATCCGGTTTTGGTGAACCACCTTCGGTTTACCGTTCGGGATCTCACTTATACGGAAAATGACATCATTGATTTTTTCTTGATGAGATACGGACCTACCCAAGACCTTTAAAGCTTCGGAGAATAACCCTTTTGACTTTTTGGGTTATGGAGACAGACTTTGTCGCCATCCTTGAAACATCCTTCTGTAGCTTGGGTATCGTATCGTTTCTTCATTCTGTCGCTGGCAATTTGAAGATGCGAGCGGACCAATTCATGTATATCGTTCATTCTTCTTCGTAACTGGATCATATAATCGTCACCAGCTACATCTTCTCCAGGTCGGCTTCCAAACTCAAGGTCGCACGGTAGTCTCATCTCATGCCCAAATCGGACCTTTGCTGGTGTTCGGCCTGTTGATTCATTGACAGCGGACCTATAAGCCATTGCAAATAGCGAAAGATACTGATCCCAATCTCGCTAATGGTTTGAAACCACTTTTGACATATATTTGCCAATGGTCTTATACATTCGCTCTACCATTCCATCGGATTGTGCTGTGGTTCTGGTTTTCTTCATGCCTAGTCTGTCACAGATTCCACAAAAGAGCTGGCTTTAAAAATTTCTGTCTTGGTCACTGTGGATCTCCAAGGGTACTTCAAATCGGTAGATAAACTGTTTTATCAATACATCTGCAACAGTTGCGGTCTCTTCATTTGGAATGAAGTAGACTTCCTTTTGCGTTGAAGTCCATTACTCATAGCACAGGTGGTACATTTCTTACACCAGTCCTTTACATCATTGGAACTGTTCATTCAGTAAAACGTTTCCCGAACTCTCTGAAGGGTTTTCTTAACACCGAGATGTCCTCCTGATGGACTGTTGGGTAACTGATGAAGTACTTCGGTTATTCTACTCCTTAGAATGACCAACTGTCTTCTGTTCTCGGAACCATCATGTACGCTAACTAACGGTATTTTTTAAAATTTGTCCTGTTTTACTATGCCTGATGATGGTCACTGACCAAATATGTCACTTCATCCCCATTTTTTGATAAAATTATTTTGTGGTCAAGACAGTGAGTGTTTCATTTCCTTTTATTTTTTATTTATCCGAAAGTTTAGTTTTAGAGACCCTAACCTAATTTTCTAATTTCAATTGTTTTTCGTTTATATTATGTTTATTTCACGTGTTGTATAAAAACTTATTCGATTTATATAACCACTTAACAACTATAATTTTAATTACACTTTAATTATATAATTGACGCTTCCTAAAAAATAGATATTAGTATTGTTTAGGCACCAATAGTACCAATTAAAATTACGAAGTAATGTGACTGGTTTAGTGCTGTGTCTATAACTTATAAACTCAAGGTTGCGGGTTTCCATCAGGACAATATTTTGCTTAATATTGGGTCCTATGATTGAACGTTTACGTTATCCGTAACGTACGTGTTAGGCCGAATTTTAAAAGTAACAAGGCAAGTTCGTATGATGGAAACCTGTTAAATTAGAACATAAGTGGCGGAAAATAACAGTAATGTGTTGGAAAAAGTTTTCCATCGTACGAACTTGCCTTGTTACTGTTAAAACTCGGCCTAACATGTATGTTACGGATAACGTAAACGTTCAATCATACGACCCATTAACTA